TCCTGAGCCCAAATCGCCTCGGCCTCAGGCAGAGGCGGCAGCTGCTGGAGAGCAGCTCGGTGGCTGGAGCTGCGGAGCGGTGGGCGCCGGGCACCGAGCGGCACGCAGCGGGCACCGGGTAAGAGACGGACCCTGGTGGCGGGGGGTGGAGGGAATGTCGGAAGAGCTGAGAAGCCTCCGGAGCGCGCGGTCCCCGGGAGTCTCCGAGCGGAGGCTGTGCGCCCTGGGCGCGTGGGGAAGGCCGGGCTGCTCTTCCGACCAGGTCCGCACGCCTACCCGCTGCTTCCAAGTGCTGTACAAAGGCTGAGAAACTCTCAGGCTCTTCCCAGAGCCAAGACTGCCGGGCGGGAAGCAGCCCGCACGCCTCGGGACGCACCTGTTGCCGGGGACGACCCAGCCCCCGCGCCGCGCCTGCCCCTCTGNGGGAGCGCGGCCCCGCGCCGCCGCTGGGTGGCTCGCTGCGGCTCCCAGCCTGTCTGAGGCTCAGAATGGGCCCCGGGCCAGGGCCAAGGTCAAGGCGCATCTCCGGCTAGGGCCCCTCTGGGCTGCTTCAGCAGCTTCTGCCCAGGGCCGGCTCCCTTCCTCTCCGCACCCTGCGCGCTCCCGGGTGCGCGACGGCAGCGGCGCCCTCGGGAAACCCGGCCGCTCGCGCTCCCGCTCCGCGCCTGCCCTCCTCGGTTCCGGCTCGTCCCAGGAGGCAAGCTTGGGGCGGCGCGGGAGCTGCCTGCCGGGCGCCTTCGCCCTCGGGGCCTTGGCGAGTGTCAACCCATTTTACCGCGAGCAAAGTTATGGCTCCTTTATTCACTCCCCCTCTTCTCGTTGCCAATCTCTCCAAGAGACAGAGCAGGACGAACAAGACTCCTGGGAGAGTCCGGGGCTCCCGGAGCCCTGGCTGAGGCGCTGGGCCCTGGGCCAACTGCACTGTCACAGCGGCCCTTCGGGAGAGCAGAGGGCGACCAGAAAGGGGGGGGGCGCACGGTGTCCCGGGCGGCGACAGACGGCCCTGGGCCGGACAGGGCAGCTCTGCCACTTCAAGCATCGCCGGGTCACTGGAGCTAAACACCCTTTGGGGGTGGAGGGGGTCTGGTCGGTGCGGGCGCAGGCCCGGCCCCCTTCCCCCCCAGCGCAGCCCCCTGGGAGCTGGTCCGGGTCAGCCTGCGCCCCTCTCTGGGTGGAAAGGCGGTGCCGAGGAAGACAGCCTGGAACCCCGGCTCCGGCCCTTCCAGTCCTGCAAGTGAGTTGTTCACTTGAACTTCGAGGACGGCTTCCAGCCCCCCGCCCCCGCCCCATCTTTCCCCCTGCAACCTTCTCGCTCGATTGCTTTGGGGAGATTTTACACCTTTTTTCATATTGCCCACTGAGAAAATTGGGGTTTGTAATAAGGTAGAAGACCTTTCATGAGCGTGATTTTTCCACTTTCTCGCTTGCCACCCTACCTCCAAACAGGCTTTAGTTCTTCCCGAAATCTAAACTGGGGAGCAGCACTATTGGCTAGGGCTTGGGAAAGGCGCATCGACGCCAGGGGATCAGGGGGGAAGCTCCGCCGGACTGTGGGCCGGCCCAGCGCGCGGTGGACAGCGGAGCGGTCCCTGCCCC